TAAATGTTAAAATAATATAATAAAAAATAGTTATTCAATAATAATAAAAAAAAAAATTATGGAAGTAACCCCTGTTCTATAAGTTCAAAGCAAATGGCAACAGTGCTTCRAAGCTGCAAATAAAAATCGTACGCAATCGTGAACATTAAATGTTCACGATTGCGCATGTCGATAAAGACMGTACGCAATCGTGTTTTACCGCCCCGGAATCAACTCAACGGTATCGGTGCAGGTAAACAGGTACCCGAGAATCAACTCATACGTCAAACTATCGTCTATTTATTAGATATTGCCTGAAAATCCCAGATATACCGGCTCACAAAAACATTACTGCAACGTGCAAGTTATTTATACGTAAGGGTGGAAGCTGACAGTTAACCGAGAAAGATGTTTAATCGACAGATGGTTAATCGAGGTTGTACCTATTCTATTATTTTATCTGACTTCCTAACCGACCTGGTAAAATTTGGAATGACCGGTAACGTCGGTGATGACAGACTTGGCAAATATTTGCTGAATCTGAAATCTGTAACATTGCGCATGCCTATGATAATGCCGTTTTATAAATAAGTCTCGTAAAGTTTTTAAATATTGTGAACCTATCCGTTATGATATTATGATTGCAGGCGATAAATTCACAGAAAGCAGAATCATACATTTATGCAAGGCGGATCTGTATATGTACGCCGATGTGATTTCGGATGTGATCTTTCCTCCCTTCGGGGTCAAATTGTGCAGGGCTGTGTGTAACGGTTATCAGGAATCTATGAATATCGATATAACAGTGAATGTGTCGCTCATTAACTCAAATTGCGATTACACTGGTGCAACGACGATTGTTGAACGTTCAGGCAATTGCAAACATTCGACCACGTGTCCAGATCTGAGCACCGCGTGCGTTTGCTACTATAACGTCCGGTGCGACCGCCGGACGAAGTCAATAACCTATACCTTTACACCTAACCGCCAAGGCTACCTTAGGGTAATGGTAACCGATKCTGGGACTCCATTGTATGTTACTTGATTCCCTACGTCCACCCAACCAAAGGATGTTCAATTTGAGTTTTACGTTTCTGAATAGTAGCATTTCCATTTAWTTTTACTATTTTTTTTTCTTTTTAAACCCCCTTAGTTTTAGTCTATGGCCCCAAAGATACCCATGTTGGTTTGATGTATTTACACACGTCGTAATCACCTTCTGTTTTGTTCCGACTGATTATTTTTGGATAAGTGCATAATATTATACAAATTTCATCGTATTTATTYAGTCTTTCACACACCCCAAATTTATGGATAATGAGGTAGGTCGCGGCGTTCGCTCGCGTCCGCATAACACTCATGTTCACAATACCAAGACTTACTCATTGTTAATTTGTCTATACGTATTAAAATATTATAGTTTAAATAATAAATGTTTGTTGAAATTAATATTTATTTTTAATATTATAATATATTACAATTAAAATAAATTTATTTAAAATACATTTTTAATATACAAATTAATAAATATATAATATATATTATGTACATATTTATATTATCTATAATTAATTAACTAATCTATAACTTAACCCATCAATGTTATATTGTTTTACATTAAATTGTTTTAAATATTTCGCAGAAAAATGATGTGTTGTCTAGCGTATTGTTTAAACGAAATAGTTACAATACGCACTGGAACGTTCAATATCCTCAACAGTATTACTATTACATTTAAGCTCATAGAAAGTATATAACGTACTACATTCTACGTACTTATATAGCTAACCAAAGTTAAACAAATGTATATAACAAAATAAACAAGAGTTAAATTAATGAGAAATAAATGGAAGGGGAACGTAGTATACCTGCAAGCATTCTTGTTTTAATAAGAAAAATAAAGCTATAAAAATTAGTTAAGCTAGGAACTTGAGCAATCTATAGTAAACTAATTTCTAAATGTTTTAACCCGAAAATGTATTCATAAATAGTTTATTATGTAACGGATAATTTTATTATTCAAATGTTTAAAACGATGGCGACGTCGTGAAAGCAATGCGAAAGTAGTTCCCGCGGCGTCGTCGGTAAAAACTGGAAAAAAAAAATATTCCTTGAAGTAGCTGGTCAATGTTTAAAAAATTAACCAATATAAAACTAAAGTTAACACATTGTCATAATTTACCTCATATTTACCGGAACTCGCATCAAAATACTCGAAAACCCTCTTTATTCTTTCAAGCCCACAAAGACGAGAACACTGCTTCAATCTGTAAACTTGTCTACAATATAAACTTAAGCAATTCACTAAAAATGATGTATTTTGCTTGTACCAAAATTAAATGTATATAAATTAAATTTATCCAGTGTTGTTTAAATAATGTAGACTAACACCTGTTGTTGAAGCCTTATATAAAAATAAAAATAAAAGTCATACTAATGAAAATAAATTAAAAATATATCTRGTGTTTTCTACCATCCGTGATTTATGCTAAAAGGTTATAGTTATTACTAATAATTATTGCRTTTCCAAGATCTGTGTTATATGACAATCTAAAATATTACAATTGAATATAAGGTGAAGTAGCCTCAGCACGTAGCACCATTAATCGTCAAAACGGTTAAATCTTGAAAGAAAACATAAAAAACGTGGCATGTAGGCTTTACGTAACATCGGAGAGTGTTTAATCTATAACGTACCTAAAAATGTATTTATAATAATGAACTATTGTAACTACGGGCAACCGTTTACACACTCACACACTAATGTACAGCGCAGTGCACTCGTCATAAAGCTAGGTAAATCGTCACAAAGTCATCACAATTCTATTTCGAGTGATCGCATTCAATTTTAATGTCATTTTCGATCATTTTTTTTTTATTTTTTTTTCGTTTTTAATCAATTGTAGGACTGTGAGTTTAAAACTTTTTCAACATTTGCACGTCTTTCGTAGAAGGAATCATCAAGTTCGATAAAAGTTTGCTTAACATAATTATTATTTAACAACAGCATAAGTGTAGTGCACATGGAAGATAAAGTGTACCTATATCATATATAAAAATCTTAATTTTGCATATTATTGCTTATTATATTATAYACCTAATACTGCATGTATTCTTCATGTGCTCTGATCTAAGCACAATTCACGTTCTATAATTTATTTTCATAGGYCGTAACGTGTTAACAACCATTGAAAACAATTTATTATAAAAAATGTTTCTTTATTAATTCTTTCTTATAACATATTTTGTGATTTATAAGATTTTATTTAGGTAATACATATTTATTTATTCATTTATTATTTTCTATTCTTGAATTGAATCATAACAATTTTCACAGTCCAAGTCTAATTCCATCTTAAACACATAATAAATTATAATATAATTCTTCTCTTGTGAAACTGTCAAAAATGAACGTAAACTACACGTACAGTAAACTTAGGCGCGAGTACGGTCGACAGTGCTCGTTCATTAAATCCGGCCCAATAGTGTTGGCCAACGTGACACCAGACCCAGGCACAGAAGAACAACTATGGTCACCAGAGAACCCTGTGGACAAAAGCACCAATAAAGGCAACGATTGGTCTGAGCATGAAGTAAATTTAATGATACGTTATCATTTTTGTTTAGCATGATATTTTTAAATTTTCGTCATATTTTGAAAGGTAAAAATTTATAAGCCAGTCTATCAATCAAAAATTGAAATTGAAAATCAATATTGCTATCCTTACATGAATAGTTACTTTTCTTTAAATATAACAGATGTTATATAGTTTTTTTTTTTTTGTGTCTATCATCACGTTTTGGGACAGTAAAAGTGCATCGATTTTTGACGTCAACCACCTCGTTTGATTAGAAAATGAATCTAGTTGGTACTTTGGGGGGTCAAAAGTAAAAGATTCTTAATATTTTTCTAAATAATTGAGATAAACAAACTAAAAATTAAGGGCAAACGGGAAATTTTACGCACACTAAGTTTTCGACAAAATTGATTTTGGTTTTTGATGTAACTTTAAAACAAATGACCATAGATACATG